TTCTTACAGACATTCTCAACGTCCATGGATCTCAGCTTCTCGCAACAACTCCAGCTCTGTTGAAGGTCTATATCAAGGCGCTCAGGTCCGGATCCAAGGCTCCCGAGGTCCAAGCGGCCGCTACCTTGGCGGCATCGAAACTTCTGCTCGGCCGCGTCGTTACTGACCATGATTCCTCATCCGAGCTCTTGAAGACGCTCATCATCGCCTACTTTGACCCTTCGAGCGCGCACAACCAGAGCGTGCGACAAGCACTCAACTACTTCCTGCCAGTCTTCTGCTTCTCTCGCGCCGAGAACCAGGAACTCATGCAGTCCGTCGCATTGGACGCACTGCATTCGCTCTACAATATTAGGGAGAGCCTGGAGGACGACGATGCCGACGTTGATGAGGACATGCAGAGCCTCGCGACCATCGGCGCTTGTCTCGTTGATTGGACTGACCCAAGGAAGTGCTACACCCCAGGTCTGGGTCTGGACACGGAAAAGAAGGCAGCCAATGGCGACATTCACCTCAACTTTGCCCTCGATATCCTCGAACGTCTGAGCGGTAACATGACAAGTAAGCGAGCCCACCTTGCCCCCTTCCCCCGCTTCATTCTTACTGACCCCTCGCGCAGAGGAAGAAAAGAAGGTTGTGGCGCCCTTGCTCGGCAAACTCTACATTTCACCAACGAGCTCAGAGGAGAAGATCCGCGAGACCTTTGACGAGGTGTCCATCGCCGTGAATGACAAGATTGTGTCCGACACGACCGGCAGGAATGCGCTGAACAAGATCCACATCAGCTTGGGAAAGATTGTCGCCAACCTAGGCGAGGCGGGAGCCGACGATCGCCGTGTCAGCAGGAGCGTGTCAGTTGTGGGCGATGACAGGACAGAGACGGAGGGACGAACGGTCATCACGGAACCTCGCATCAAGGAAGAGGATGAGGAGAGCCAGGCAACGAATGCCAGTCGTATGGACGAAGACAGTGACGAAGGGACGGTCATTCAGGGCAAGGAGAGGGATACGCTCGTGGACGATCTCCTGAGCGAGGAGGAGCTCTGAAGGGGAGTGTACTGCGGCGGATGGTTTGCGCTGGTTATTTTGTAGTCCTTGGTTTGCAACAGTCGTTTGGTCTGGGATGGCACTGAGGTGGCAACGGGTTTATGATGATGAGGTATGGCCTTTGTACATCTGCTATGGGGAATCTATGGAATGTGCGAATATCTGCGATTTCTCCAAGGCTAAACCCCCCGTGCGCTCTTGTGACCATTTCATGACGGCGCGCCCATCCAATACAGGCCGCTGGCCAGCAAAATGTTGATGAACAAGTGCTGGCCTATGCCCCACGCCATGCAGTAGAGGTATTTTGGGGAAAAGACGGTCCAGATGAACAGGTGCGTCCGCAGAGCTGTGCACGCAGCCATGATGAACGCGACGCTGCAAGTAGCAAACAGCGTGACGTTCGTGAGATGTCGGAACAGTACAGATGAGTCAGGCCTTCCACGAGACCTCTGCAGCAGAAGCAGATTCGTTGCTGAGGTCCAGTATACGGGCCCTGCCCAGTTGCTGATGAAGGTCAAAAAACCGACACCCACCACGTTGAAACCCGAGACTCCGTTGTAGGCGCTGGATAGGTCGACGGATGAGATGGCATTGGTGCCCCCGAACGCGAAAAAGGACATGTACTGAAGAAGTATTGACGTGGTTGAGATGGTGGTGACATCAAGATCCAGGCTGGCCAAGAAAGTATACTGGACCTCAAAGAGGAGCAACAGGGGGATATTTGTAACGCGCGATTGCGTGGCTGCGAGCAGGGCATATAGGTAATGAAGCAGCTCGGCTGGCGAATGTGAGTTGCAATGCGACCACGTTTCGGAGGCTGAAGTTGACTTACCCATGGACATGGCGCTGCTAGGTTCCGCAACCGATTTGGAAAGAGCGTACGCAGCCACTGCTGCAAGATCAAGGAACACAATCCGGGCACGAGTCACCAGTGTGAGCCTTTGCAATGCGGCGCTGATGTCGTGTACGAATCCTCCAAGAAGCTCCGGGGCATCTTCGCGCGTGAAGGCAAGCTTGAAGGTCAAAGCTGACAAGATGAGGATGAAGACGATCCCAAACGACATCACACGCGATAAGCCTGAGAGACAACGTTGGATACGAATGCCCAGCAGTGCGTATGTGGCCCCGACGAGAGCCCAGAGAGTGAGCGGCGATGCCATCAAGAACGTTTTCACAATGTCCGGCTCCCCGGCATGCTTTTGGCCCGTCTGATTCCACGCCCGCACTAGACGAGTGGACAGTAGAGCTAGCGAGAGCTGCAAAGCCCTTGAAAATGGTTGCTTGGTGCTGGAATCTAGGTCAGCTCTCTGGTTCGGAGGGGTCGCAGGGTCAAAAGAAACATACTTTCGCAGCTGAACGATTCCAAGCCCACCAAACCATGCCGACGTAGCCCAGTACCAGAAGTGATGCTCCTCTTCTACGAAGCTACTAGCAAACATCATGATACCGTAGGAAATCGTCATGATGACGAATGGTGTATGGCTCCAGCAGACTTTGAGGAGCAATGCGTTTGACACGAGGGCTACAAAAATAAATGCTTGCCCTCCAATGAGTCTAGGCATGTCATAGTTGCTCGCCATATTGCTCATCAAGTCTTGGGCTCTGCCAAGCCACTGTGTCCCGTCAGAACAATTGTTCGTCGCATATGTCGTGTGTTCACTCACCTTAGAAATTGCCGACACCCATTCCGAGTCGATTGGGCTGTCATCCTTGAATGACTGGCGCTGAGTATCAATGCGCTGCCATTCGCATGCTAGTCCTAGTGGTTCATCCTCAGGATCGCGACAGGCACTCTCATCTTGGCTCTGCTCCAAGAGATCTGCACCAAATGTAGCTTCAAAAATCGTCAGGATTTGACGAGCATTCCGGACAAGTAGTTGTATCTGGTCATCCCCTGAGAATCGTCAGTTTGGACGAGCAAACATATCGACTCAAGCATAAGCACGTACTCTTGGACCAAAATGGAAGGAATTCCTGAATCAGAGCGCCTAGGTTGTTCCGGGGCACGGGGAACCCGAGCAAGGCGCCTAGTGTCGGAGCTATGTCGGATTGCTCGACCTTGCTGTAGTAGTTAAAGTCGTCTCGATACGAAGTCGGCGACTCAAGGTTCATATTCGATGATATGGCACTCAGCTTTGGGGAGATGAACACAAGGGCGGGCGAGGTCTCCCCTGGCGACGATGCGCCGTGGTTGCCAGCATCGTTCATTCCGTGATCACCGCACAGCACAAGCAGAGTCGAAGCGAGGTGGTCATGGCTCTCGATAGCGTTGTAGATCTCCTTGACCAAAGCGTCCATTTCTCGCTGCTTGGGGACCATGTTGGGACTTGTCCACTCGTCAGAAGCCAGAGCAGGAGATTGGGGTAGGAAGAGGATGTGACAAACCTGGAGGGCCCGGCTTTGTGGCCGATATGGTCGAGGCCCAGATAGTGAAGCACCATGGTGCTCCAGTCCTTGTTACGCAGTTCGTCTGGGACGTGCCTCGTGACGTTGTTATCAACCTCGGTGAAGTCCTGCCTCCCGTCAGCGTCAGACTCACTGCGATTACAGACCAACGGGCTACTTCGCAGTGATGAACCTACCGAGACGAAGAAACTAGACGTGCCATCGGCACGATCAAAGGTGTCAGGAAACAACTTGAGCCATGTATCATCGCCATACATGACCATCTTGCCGGACTTCTTAGCTTTCATCTGGGCAAGCCATGTGTCCTGGGCTGCGAGGGTGGATGAAGTGTCGCCTTCATCAAAATTGAGGATGACGTCGAGGAAAGATGGGATTGAGCCGGTCGTGATGGCTTTGATACGCGGCATGGTAATGGTAGGAGACCGAGCATTGGCAGTGAAAGGCAATGCATGTCCTCGGCGGATCAGGCTAGACAGTCACGTCAATGACTGCGGTCGTCAAGGCATCGGCGGAAAGGGAACAAGCAGGCATACTCTTGGGTGAATTCAAATCCACTGTCTCCTGTGTACACGAAATCGCTAATGACTGAGCATTAGCGCCGCGATGAGGACTCAAAGGTATGTACTCAGATGGACGGTACCTTCGGAGAGCGTCCACGACCATGAAGACCAGGCGGTCAAATGGTGCTGCTGGAGGGCTGCCATATTCGAGCGCCTCATACTGAGCCAGGCCAGACAGGAACGGTTTGTACGGAAAGAATCCCGTGGCAAATATTATGATAGACACCGGTATCAACAAGTTCGCTATCACGAGAAACAACGTCTCGAGACGAGATGTGTTGTTGTAACCCATCGTGATGTGAGCCCATCAGGGTGTACAATAACACAGGCGTGAGACGAAAGCAAGCCTGGAAAGATGGGCCACTCAGGGAGCGAAATTCACGAACGAGCCCTGGAGAATTCAGTCGGACAGAAGTGCCTGGCGGAAGAGTGTAAAGGATGCCTTTGAACGAACGAAATAACAGGCATGCCAGTCTCATCCATGACCCGCGTTGAACAAGCTGAAGTAAGGTGCCTAGGTAGGTAGTGGAAGAAGACGAGACGCGGGTCGCCGTGTCTGACTTACAGGTGTACGAGACCTGCAAGGGGGACTCGTCGGGGGTACGCTTACATCATGTGGAGCACTCTGATTGGGTGTACTTTGGGGTCTTCATGCTTTGCCAGCGGGTCTTTTAGGGGCACGTCAGTGGAAATATAGGTACCTTAGCAGGCTTACAAGGCGCCTGGTCATCTGTGCTGGAGTGAACTGACCTGTTACAGGAGATGCACTTCCAACCTCGGGTCTGAACACGAATAGTTTCTTTCAGCTTGCCCTGATGTTCAATGTAAATGTAGAAATCCAAGTGAAGTCATGCGAAGCAAGTCTCAGGCAAGCGATGATGTTTTAAGCAAACCAGCCTAGCCACAGTATCACAGAACTTGAAGACAATATATTCAATAGTTGACTAGAACTCCATACTCCCCTTGTCAAATAAGACAATTGGCAACTCATTTCTTGCCCTTACGATCTTTGTACTTGGGGAATACAATCCTGGACGTCTTCCGCTTCTTCTGAACCTTGCCAGCGCTCTTCGGCTTGCTTGCTGGCTTGGCGCCCTCAATGTCCATCGTATCTGTTGCGAAGTCAGTATATGGAAAATTTGGCCTTCAAAATATGATGGCCTCGCAAAAAGGGAGCGACATACTGGAGTCTTCCACAGGCTCAGAAGCTTCAGCGGCGGGCTCATTCGCAATCTCAGCTAGAAGGTTGCAATACTCGGTCAATTACTCTGATTCTTCCACGACTCATAATCTTGTCATTCACCGATGACAAAAGACTTACCATCAAGGTCCTCCACGTCCATGGTCGTGTCCTGCTCCTTTTGGGGCTTGGGCTGAGCAGCCAGTTCCAACAGCTTCGCCGACAGGCGCTCCGTTCGAGCAGACTCAACAGGACCGAAGACATTCTGCTTCAGCCTCCGGTTGTTCGCCTTCCGCGTACTCGCCCTTGCACTTTTGGCCATGTTGAGTTTAGGTTCCTGTGCGGGTGGAAGGCCTAAGTCTGGAATTAAATTATGCAACGTCCGATCCTGTGATTGAAGGATTGGTTCAAATTTTGGCGCTGTCGTTGCAAGTTGAGGGACGTAGGCTGTGAATGCAGACACCACAACGGTGAGTGTAGATTTCAGTATGAAGGAATCGCAGGCGCAAACGAAAAATGAAAAGGCCCCCACCACTTTCTTCGACATGTTATCTTATCGGTTTATGCAGGTAGCACCCCTCGCTAGCGCACTCTCCCCTAACCACACCCCTGCGATCTTCCTTGCGACAGTCTACAACCACACCTTAGTGCCGACGACAACGACTCCCGCAACCGCAAGGCGACCAACCAGGAATGACCTCAGCGCGAATCTGAGGTAGAGAATTCTCGACGCCCATCGAACCATTTGCTGCATCCTGCACTCGCATCATTCTCCTCGCCCATGTCCTCGGCCGGCTAACTGCTCATGGGCCTCTCGACCCTGCTCTTTTTCCGAATTCGACAGCGCGAGCGACACGCGCCCTCGACAGACTCTATTCCTACAAATTGGCGTCCACGCCTAGCACACGTACCCTTCGTGTGAACAACCGGGCCACGACACGTCCCTACGCCATAGCCATAAGCGCGCTCGGCAGGGCCCTCGACCTTCGCTGCGATAGCGGGAACATACGCGACAAACAGGGCGGCGGCCTTCGTCCCGATCCCTTATGAGGTTGCTATCCAGGCAGAGAAGGGACATTGATTGCGACCAACGGTAGCCATGCCTGAAATACCACGAGCCGACGTCGCCTCCCTGGTGAAGGTCGTGCAGAGCACCACCTTGCTTAATAGGCAGCTTTCGACGATCTGCCAGCTCAATGGCCTGACCTCTAGCGGCGTCAAGGCCAGCCTGCAACAACGCATTGTCAACTGTGAGTGTTGGCCGGTTGTCTCCTTCCCTCCTGACGATTTGCTTCTGCATCGTCCCTTCCAGTTCCAAAGCGGCGTGCAGGCATCATGCGCCAGAAGCGCGTGCAGCCCTCGATATGCTTCCAACATCTGCCTTGGAAACGACCTCATGTGTTGCCTGTGCAAGGCAAATGCAGTGACAAGATGGAACCGCCTTTGCGCGTCTTTTCCGCTTTAGATAGACAGCCTGAACCGGAAGGGGAACTTGTGCTGATTCTATCTCCTGGACAGATATACAAGAGATCGTCAATAGGAAGGACCTGACACGATTTCGCCAGATCGAGCAAAGCATCCGAAATACCAAAGCTGGTCATCCCCACACGACCCCTTCCACCACTACCCCGAAGCCTGCAGCCATGCTTGATTACACGAACAATGCCCCTGCACAACCCGCTCGAACATATTTCAGTGGGAGCAATCTCAACGGCGGCGGTGCGCACGTCGGCCTCGGGCACGCTGTAGGCTATCACGGGGGTTCTCAGATGAGTACGGTTTTCTGAACCCTTCTTCGACCAACAGCTGTATTGATTTTTTTCAGGTCTCCAGTTTAAACCCAGTCCCTTCTACGAGATAAGAAGACCAGTAGGCCCGATCCGCACCTGCGAAGGTAAAAAATTACTTGTTTGCCGCATAACGTATCGACCTTGGCTGACTTTGTTGCTAGCCATGAGCCAGCACAGGAACCTGGTGACTATCAAGATCAGGGCCAGTGAACACGCTGCACTTCAGCAGTGTATCACGGACAAGTCTTTCCGTGTCATGGTTTTCTGCGCTGGCGATAAAAATGGTATTCAGGACATTGCGTTTCCACATCAGTCAGAGGTCAAAGTAAATGGTGGCGAGATCAAGGCAAACCTCCGGGGGCTGAAGAACAAGCCTGGCTCGACACGCCCCGTCGACATTACAGACGCCTTGCGATTGAAACCTAGCAACTATGAGAACAACGTTGAACTGATCTACGCGCTCACGACAAAGGTACTTATGAACTGGTTGCGGCTGCGCACGCCGATATAAGATTGCAATCTTGGCTAACAAAATTCCAGCCGTTCTACGTAGCCGTTTACCTATGTAAGACAACATCGGTGCAAGACCTCGCGGCCAGGATCGAACATGGCAAAAAGATACCCGAAGCCTCTGTCATCTCAGAGAGTAAGTGGTGCTCTGCCTCCACCCACCTTGCAGCTCACGCGGTATGGCTTGCATGTGGCTAACTGATTTAGTCCGCAAAGAAGCAGCCGACACGGATATTGTTACGACGTCGCAAGTCCTGTCATTGAAATGTCCACTGAGCTACATGCGGTTGGCTATCCCTTGCCGTTCCTACGTTTGCAAACACATTCAGTGCTTTGATGCCACATCCTATCTTCAGTTGCAAGAACAGGGTCCTCAATGGCTGTGTCCCATCTGCAACAAAAGCGCGACTTATGAGAGTCTTGCGATTGACGAGTACGTTTCTCAGCCTGTTGCCGAGATATACCATTAACACCTCTGTTCTAGATATGTCAAGGACATTTTGGCCAACACGTCGAAAGATCTGGAGCAAGTGACAATAGAGCCCGATGCGCAGTGGCATGCTCAATCATCCGTCGATGACCATAACCCGTATAGAGGTAATCAATCGGCAGCTCTCGACGACGATGACGACCTGGAAATCTCCGAGATCAGCATTGTGGGAGGTCGCAAATACGAAACGCCCTCCCGTTCGCTACAGGGGACCGCAACCCCGACAACACGGGATAGTTCGTCGATGCCCCGCGGCCTGGGGTCTGTTAGTGGCAAGAGGCCGGCCCCGCAGGAGATTGTAGACTTGACTCTGGATTCCGATGATGATGATGCGCCTCCTCCTCGAAAGAAGCAACATTTGTCTGTCCCGGAACTTGGAGACTATTGACATGCCGGCGGGAAATCCCTCTTCGGTGCTTTAATTTCAGGAGTGACAATTTTTCAGAATGGAGGGGACGGGCTATCGGCCGTTAAGGAGTCGAAAAGGCATCGTTGACGAGATGTGAGGGGCATCTGCCTTTACAAGGGTAGCGGACGGCATCGGACAAGAAAAACTTGGAGGCGTTAGGAAATGGCTTGGACTTTCACGGTTCGGCACAAGAATCAAAGCGCTGGAGTTTGGGTTTGGCTTACGAGAGACGAATACACTGGTCCCATTTTGAAGGTGTTGCAGGTGCATCAAATGTTGCATGCAGGCACGAGGAGGCGATGGTCAACCGATATAGAGGAACGATAGGTGTCCAGCTGTTCCGATGGTTGAGCTTCAATGTGTACAGACGTAGCATTCAACCAATGCGGCTGCCGCAGAAAAAAAAAATCGTTAAATGGAGTTTATATGCACGACGCGAATTGCCCTCGAAGATCGGATGTCGTGATCGATTGTAACTGTTGGACATGAGTGAAGCCTGAGAGCCAGATGCACAACCAGGCAAGGTACCCGCATAATCGGCGCACATGCCTCGAGCAAGTCCCCATCCCATGTAAGCCATGTGCCCAAGCTTCGCCAGGGTCTCGCATCCCGCTCAACATTCTACCTTCTACTTCAATGACCACACAGCTCGACAGCGCGACGACCAAGGACTAATCTTCCTCAGCGATGCGCAGGCCTGTCAATACATAATCAAGCAAGCAAGCAAGCAACACAATTCTTCCGGAACGGCACGTGCGACGCAGCGTTTACTCCCCCCCCTTCTTCGCCCATCATGTCTTTCGAAACCGTAATGCCCCCCTTCAACTCGACCGACCCCAACGCCTCCTTCCTGAGCTCTTCCGCCTACGACTTTCTCCTCATTGAGCTCGTTCCCCTCGCATACCGCGTCACGCAGGAGCTCGACAGCGCCGCCACTGCAAACAGCGGCTCTCCAGACCCCGCACCAGCTTCGGCCGACACGGCATCGGTCAGCCAGCGCGCGGCGTCGAGCGTGACGGGCGGCGGCGGCGGCGGCACGGCGGCGAGCGCAGGCCAGAAGATGGACGAGTACGAGGAGAAGGATGCCGTTTTCTACAGGTTAGAGAAGCTGGGATACCGTGTCGGCCAAGGGCTCGTGGAACGGTACGTTGCTTTGTCTCCTTCCTCGTGGGACACGCTACCCGTGCTGACTGGGCCTTGGGTGTGAAGCTTTTCGCGCGACAGGCCACGATTCAACGACACGCTCGACGTCATCAAGTTCCTCTGCAAAGACTTGTGGTCACTGGTCTTCAGGAAACAAGTGGATAACCTCAAGACAAATCACAGGGTAGGGCACCGTGTTCTTCTCATGTGGCACCTGTCTGGGTTGACGACTGACCGTGTCGCTGCTATTAGGGCGTCTACGTTTTGACGGACAACAACTTTAGGCCGTTTGCCAGGATGAGCACCGAAGTGGGAGGGCAGGCAGTCTTGCGAGCACAGCCGGTATGGATACCCACGATTTGGGTGACGATGAATTCATTTTACTAATTATGACTGTCCTTTTAGTTCTTATGGTTCCCTTGTGGCATCTTGCGTGGAGCGCTGGCTGCTTTGGGCGTGGATGCGACTGTTCAGGCCGAAACGAACGAGCTCCCCGCCGCCGTCTTTCAGATTAAAACGCTTGCTCCGAAAACGTAGAGCCTCTTGAACCCCGCGCATTACGCACGGCATGCTTGAATTATAGAGGCCCGGGCTACCATGCTTCCTAACAGAACTTCTGAGACCATGAGACCTTACAGCCTAAAATCAAAAATCAAAACAATCAGCAACAGGCTCTCCTTAGGTCGTATCTCTGTCTACCACCGTATTCTTGGCTACAGGTGGGGCAATCCGCACGCTCGCCGAGCTGTCGACAGCTGCGGCGGAGGAAATCCAGGAGGGGAAAATCACTTTTGAGGGGGGCTGTGGGCAAAGTCAACACCCTTCTTGATGTTGCCCTTGAGGCCGGTGACGGCAGCCTCGAGGAGCTTCTTCTCCTTGTCGCTGAGGTCACCAAGGATATCGGTGGCCTTCTCGGCGCCGTTAGGCTGAAGGAAGATGAGTTAGTAGATATTTTTACTTGCGTATGGCTCAAGGGGTTCTTACGCCGAGTTCGATGGGGACGGAGAAGAAGTCGACGCCGGTCTTCTCAGCGATCTCCTTGCCGCCAGGAACGCCAGGCAGGTAGACGTAGCTCGGCTCAACAAGACCCTTCTCGCCCTTGATGGCCTTCAGAACCTTCTCCGCGAAACTGCGATCTTGTCAGGAAATTGTCGGGTAAGCTGGGGTGGAAAACATCTTACCGGAAACCAGCGTACGCCATGGAGAGGGTGGCAGAGCCCGCACCATCCTTGGCCTTGACGACCTCGTCGCCACCGAACTGGACACGGTTGACGAGAGCGTCGTACTTGTCGTCGGCAATGGAAACTGAGGGGGTGACCTTGCTGAAGAGGGGGACAATGGTCTCGCCAGAGTGGCCGCCGATGACGGGAACGACAAGTTCCTGGGGGTTAGACTTGCCGGAAATCTCGGCGACGAAGGTCTCGGCACGAACGATATCGAGGGTGGTGACACCGAAGAGACGCTGGGGGTTGAAGACGCCCTTGGCCTTGAGGACCTCGGCAGCGATGGGAACAGTCGAGTTGACAGGGTTAGAGATGACGAGGATGAAAGCCTTGGGAGCAACCTCGGCGGCAACCTCAATGAGGCCCTTGACAATACCGGCGTTGATGTTGAAGAGATCGTCACGGGTCATGCCGGGCTTGCCTGCGGAAAGGTGTGGTCAGTATTGGGTCAGTGATGACCAGCACCAATCTGAAGGATCGCAGAGAAACATACGGGGAACACCGGCAGGGATGACAATAATGTCAGCATCCTTGAAGGCAGCCTTGGCACCGTCCTCCTTGGGGAGGTAGCCGGTAGTCTTCTGTATGAGGGGACGTTGTTAAGCAGGGTTCCGATGAGTGCCTGGACTACGCATTTTGAGGGAGACGTACAGCGATCGAAGAGATGTGAGACAGGTCGGCAGCAACACCGGGAGTGTTGACGACATCGTAAAGGGCAAGCTCGTCAACGAGAGGCGAAAGCTTCAGGAGGAGCGAAAGAGGCTGCAGTCTCGGGTCAGCGGGGTTTGATCGAGGGAGGGGTTATCTGGAGATAGTACGAACCTGTCCAATACCGCCAGCGGCGCCAGCAACAACTTGTGCAAAGTCAGCTACGCAAATGTTTGGAACGTTTCATATTCACGCACCGGCCTTGACCATTTTGTCGTTTTAGGGGTGGGTGTTGATGTTAGTGTCGATTTGTTGAGGTTGTCTAAGGAGAATCACACGTGTTAGCGGGGTAGCTCGACTGGCATGACGAGCTCCAGAGTTCGGAACTGGATGGGGAAGTATGTGTGTTTGTGGTCATTGATTAACATGCAAGACCGGACAGCTCTGCTCACCTGGTGACAATGTGTCTGAAAGCTCAATAGGATGCGAAGAAGGAAGAGTGTAAGGTGTGTTGAGCGCGTCGATAGATGGGTGAGGGAGCTTGTGCAGGGTAGAAGTAGCAGACTGGCGCCATTGCGGGGAAGGGCTCGCGGATGGAGGGGCCCGCCTCACCAGTCTCACGTTGGGGACTTGCGACACTGGAAGGGTCGCTGGACCTGCAAGAACGCAGAGCGGGGTCATGCTCTGAGGGTCAGAGAAACAACCGGCGACGCTCGGCCACTCGTGTCCGGCATGTCACGGGCTCGAGCGACTTCTTTCGTCCGACAGTATTGGTACATCACCAGCCGCCGGCCCTGAGTGAACGTCCGTCGGCTATCAAGATCATACAGTGGCACATGTATGTGACAAGGTCATACCGCCCAGGGCCAGCTCCCGTCCTGTAATGCATGTATGGTGCAGCCGTCTTTCCGTCGACAGCCCCAGTTGACCCCGGCCTTCCGTCATGTCCCGGCCATTGGGTTGGCTTGCTCATGCCGACGGCTTGATCCCGGGATCGATCTCCTTTGTGCCCAGGGCCTGGAGACATCTTCTAGACCCAGACGGGAGTCTTGCAGCCCCCCTGGATTGCTTTGCTCATGGCAGATTGCCATGGTGTGCCTGACATCACCCTGTACCTGGGCTCTCTGCAGCCAGTGATGGGTGGGCCAGAGTCACGAACCACGACAAGACACCGGAATGACCCTCTCCCTCGGCAGAACGAGCCAGGACTAACGAAAGGCCGCAACACTCCGAAAGTTTCCTACCTAGGTTCAGACATATCCGAGGACAAAATCACATGCGTCACCGTTTCGGTCTCACACCTCCCAGTATATTGCCAGTGCAGAACAGCTCATAGTTACATGGCACGCGCACGGCTGTCCAACAATATCGACATGGTCATAGGTAAAGCTATTTTTGACGCAGGTGGGACCGCTTCAGAGGCCGTGCCGAACATTCGATTTTGATTTACATATATACACCGAGACACACACGGTTTAGCGAACCTACGATCCCGTGTCCCAAGAAGGGCGCACGGCTGCGAAACCGCAGAATGTGAGGGTTTTATCGTCCAGGCACATGAATCAAAAACAGCCTCACACAACGAATGTGACCACTGCATGCGATGCTTGCCAGAAGGACTGTATAGTCATGGCTTGATTTGTTGGCCGTCTCATGAGATACTTTATTTGTTATGTCATCGAACCAACCAATTCTGACCCGCATTCACCTCGAAATAACAGTCATTTATGCCTCGTCGGCGGCGGCGGCCTTCTTGGCCTTCTTGCCGCGGAGCTTCTGCTCGGGGTCGGCCTTGACGGCCTTCTGGGCGTAGCGGAGAGCGCTGACACGCTCGACGGCGGGCTGGCGGAGGTCGCTGCGGTAGCTGCGCTTGGCGGCGAGGTTGGCAACAGCCTTGTAGGTCCTGAGAAGGCATCATCGTTAGCACACTTGTCTCGGTTGGCCATGCCCGCATAGACGATGGTACTCACTTCCTGGCGGGGGTCTGCTGGCTGAAGCTGGTCACGTTGCGAGCCTCGGCGGGCTTCTGGGCCTTCTTCTCGTTCTTGCTGACGACCTGGACGGCGCCGTTCTCACCAGCCTGGATGCTGATGGACTGTGAGGAACCCATGTTAGCTTGCTGTTCTCGATGCTCGTGAAAAATTCCATGCGCCCATCTTGTCCCCGGGCCGAACGAGAAAATTCGTACCTTGTCGTGGGCGTAGCCGGCGTGCTTCTTGGAGTGAATGTTGGTCAGGTTGTAGGGATCGCGGGAGAAGATCACGCTGTTGCCGAGACCCTTGCGCTTCACGATGAAGGAGTTGTGGGCGCCTGTAGTTTGCGCCGGTCAGCCATTGTAATCCTGCCGTCGCTATGCAACGTTCTGTGCCGTGTCGAGACTGGTAACTTACGGGTGAGCTCCCACACGAGGTCCTGGGACACATTCGGCAGTTGGGCGGCCATTTTGACTGAGATATTGCGATCACGAACGGTTTGTTGGATGGCTCTCCCAAATCTGATGCTCGATTTGCTATGGCCGAAATCATGTGTGTGGGTTGGAATCGCTTAGCAAGTCACTTACGGCCTAGCGTGGGCTGACGACCGATAGAGGCCGTTATCCGTGCACAGTGAGCACTGTGATCGGCGCTGTATGGGCGAGCCGCATTGGGCGGGTTCGGGCGCATGAAGGGTGCCGTCACGGGCTGGCTTGCGCATGCGTCCAACCTCGACTTCGCCAGCCTGAAGCACAGCCACGTCGCTCGCTGCTGGGCATTAGCAGGCAACACCAACACCACGACCACCTTCGACACGAACGTCAGTCACTTGCGGAGTGACATGTGCGGGCATCATTGCTGGAGGTAGCCCTTTTGCCGCTTCAACTCCTCCCTTTCAGACCACGAACCCTTCGCCCCGGCCGACCCGATCGACAGATCACGACATCGCATTGCAATCCCCAATCTCGAATTTACGCCCTCCGAGCAACATGGCGTACATTCTTTTGCCACTTTCTCTTTTCCTCCTCATCACTGTCACAATCCTCTTCTTCACAAGGGCATACTGGAGTCACCACGTTTCCGACCTCCCCATCCCGGGCCGCGAGTACCTCTACTCTCGCCTTCCATCATCCTTTACCGGCGACATTGAAGCCGGTCTCTCGAGCAGTACTTTTGATCTCAGTACCAACATTGAGGCGGGCGACAGTCGCGCTGGGCTCGACAATGCAAGCAAGAAGGAGATCCTCAAGATTATGAAGAAGCGACGCATGAACTTTGACCAGGCGCGGGGCGTCTACATGCAGAACCGCTTCAAGGCGAACGGCATCGGTCCCGACGGTCGTCCGCTTGATCCCAAGGCCGTGACTTTCAGTTAATGGACGGGCGGCGATTATCACGACTGATCTCCTCAGAAGGAATCTTCAGATGTCAGGGGCTGAGATATGTCAGCCCCACGAACGAACGTGCGAGCAACGAACCAGTGAGCGGTCCCACATCCTGGGCCCAGCAGTAATACGAGTGATGGTCTTCATTGAGAGCGGCTCATCGAGGAGGCTTTCAGCAACTTTGGCGTATTTGTCTTGACAGACCAACTATTTCTCTTTGTCGGGGTGTCTGTGGGGGTTTCCCACAAGTGCATGCGTACAGGCTTATATGCAGATTTTTAAACATACTCTCCTAGAGCTCTCAAGTCCCATTCTGCTCTTCGACCGTACTCATCAGATCTGTTTAGGTTCGTGATTGTCCTCTGCCATTGAAGCTCGCGGGTTTCGAGCGTGCCGCTGGGAATCGCATGACACTCGGCGTGTACTTACGCACAACAGCATGACTGGCATGAGAAGCTGTTGGCGTGGAACTACAAGTAGAATTTGTCACTATGACCGTTCTGTCTGCTTTTCGTTCCCCCGGAAACTGCGACAAGACACCATTTGTGCTGCAGCGCTCTCGATCGGAATCACTTCGTCTTTTTGGCATCTTCTGTGTTGTAGGTGCGATCATCTTCGCCTTCAACCTGTTTTTGAATTGCCTCCATCTCCTCGATTCCGGATTTCCAAGTCGTCTCAGACATCTTCATGTTTTTGTCGAACCAGGCTCCATCCGGCTTGCGGTAGCTTCCTCCCAACCGGTCCCAGAGGGTGGTGAACTGTCCATAATTATAGCTGTATGCGATGTTAACAACTGTCGATATGAGCTTCGGCAGTCAACTCACTTGAAATACAGGTGGTGTGCTGTGTGACATGCAGATCCATTAATGACGGGGTTGTCAGCGAGGTACTCTCCATCGTGGATGAGAATGGACCAGAAGTTGACGAATATGAACAGCCCCACGTGAGCCCATTTGTTCAGAGGAACGACCATTGGCACAATGTGATAAGGAAAAGACTGAGCGAAACCATCCAGTGGGTGGAAGGCGTGACTGGCATAGGGTGTAGGCATGATCCATTTGTGATGGGCCTTGTGCAGGCGCTTGTAGACCGTTGGATGGTGCAGGCCACGATGAATCCAATAGATGAGCAGGTCGGTAAGGAGTATGAAGACTGGGAACTGCGCAAAGTCGTACCATCGACCTGGCCCCTCCTCGGTGGTGTCGTAGAGCCTGGCGTAACCCCTGACCTCCAGCACGAACATGGGGGCCGTAAAAAGGGCCATCACAGGCATGGCCTGGACAGCCTGCATCATCTCGAGCCGGATTTGATCTTTGAGGAATTTGGGGTGGGTAAGATTCTTTTTATCGAAGATAAAGACGTACGAGAGCGAGGCAAATATGAAGTAGATGAGAAACCCAAAGACCCTGAAGATGATAGTCAGCATCCCTGGGCTGGATGGGCAGCTTGGTGAAGAGTGGTAACGCACACAGTGATGGTGTAAAGGGTGATGAGCTGACGGACGATGTTGTCTCTGTCCCACGAGCTCGCAAAGGCAGCGTCTGTTGGTTCGAGGTACATCCACCGAGTAGCAGGCTTGTATTGCCATGCCAAGAATGTACTTGATGTGATGTTGGAAGGGGGGTCTAGAGAGATGTCATAAGGAGCCTGGCGTGCCGGAAGTAGCCAGGCGTAGAGGTGGTCGGCAGCGAATGTATCTGCAATTTCAAGTACAATATCCATAATGCGGGTAAGTCGGCTTGATAGAATGGAGTGTCCGGCAGAAATCCTAGTGACTCCGGAGAGCTGGCAAAGAGAGATCTGGCAGTGAACAGGTGTTCAAGCGTGTTGGATTTAGATATCTTCAGATGAGACTGCGCCAATGCGAATTGTCAGCGATTTTTCAAGTCGTCTGTGTGCGAAGAACGAGTTTTGGCTGGAAGTGACAATGGTTCTTTTCTTTACTTTTGTCTGCATGAGTGGCCAGCTCTATTCGTACTCGAATGCCGGAGATTGACCAATCCTCGAAGGCCTAGACGATGAGTATGGGACAGCAAAAGGCTGCCGGGCACTGAAGAATGGCTGCATCTTGAGCAATTGGAAGGCGCGTCTCATTTTACTTATACGCGGCGGGCATGATAAACGTGGGCGATTTCTTCCCCTGTTATTCAATGGGACGAGCCAGCGCGGACCAGATGGGCAGATCACTCGATTTTCATTAAACTGGTGCTTTCATCGTGCCTAAGTGGGAAGGTTCGGCCTGGCAATTGGATCATGGCACGATGTCTGTCGACGGGGGCCGGCCGCCGCTCCCCTAACATAAATTGACAGCACTGATTCGCCTAAGTTCCTGACATCCTCATCAACCGCAACACAGTGCGCTGCGCATGATTGCCACTCCAGGCAGTCACTATCGTATTCGCATTGGCAAACACGTGAGCTCGACGCTGCGCGTGTCGAGCAGACACCTACGGCCAGACACGATCGAGAGTGTGATTTTTGAGCGGCGGCTGGCCAGGGCAGGTCGTTGCGACACCAGGCGCACCCCAATTCGGATGATCAGCTGTGATCAGAGAGACAGACGTGTTAGGAACAGAACGATGAATAGACGGAACGTGGACATGAAAAGCAAGCCGACCATGAGCCTTGGCATATTACATCCTGCTGGAAAAAGCTGCAACAGCGGAATACAAGCTTTCTCGCTTGCCCGCCATCAGTCGTCAGAGGAAACAGGGCGATCTGGTTTCTCTTCTCAAATCGCCGACGGGTTGATTGTTCGAGATCCACCCACGTTAGCCCGAAGCTGTTTACATAATCCCCAGGCTCCCCCCCCTTCGTCCCCAAGTCACCTAACCCAGGGACAATTGGGACACTTTGTTGTTCTCCGTCGACCCCCTTTCCAGAATGACTTGCCTGACGCGTGAGAGCACGAGGCCGACCAGTATCGGCCATCCGGATTAGGAAAAGGGCTCCTGTTGGGTACCTTGCCTTAGGCACCGTGAGCTAACCTTGAATGCCGCCCTGCCCTACTTCCATTTCGCTCCTGTCTTTCGTTTTCTGCCATTTCCTCTTGCCACCCCCCCCTCTCACACACTCTCTCGGGAAGACATCGCATGGAGTGTAGCACAGGGCCGTGATTGACCAGGCAAGAGACAGTTAGTGATTGTGGCTGTAACAGCAGCACAAGGTGACCCCTCCTCCCAGGTGAAGCCCTTTCCCCCCCCCCAAGCCCCCCTACTTCGGCCCCGGGAGCGGGAGGTGGGCGAGTGGAAAACTAGCGACCTGCGCCTCATGTGAGCAATCACCAATGACTATCAGCCAAGACATTTGCAGTGTGGTGTGTCCGGGCTGGTCTGATACTTTGGAGCACGTACATCGGAGCAGCACAGACCATGCCAGTGAACACCCCCCCCCCCCCCCCGAAGGATGC